AGCTACAGTATATACCCTGCTATAAATGTCTGATTGGGACAGCACTCATTACACTGCCACTGTTATTCATAAAAACAGCAGTCGGCCCTTTTGAATAATATTTAATTGCTCCATTATATGATAATTTTGTCATTTATATGCTTTGTTATATTTAGAAAGTTATCCAATATCTACTAACATTTCTGCAAATGGATTCGCCTCGTAGTCTAATGTCCAGTGATTTGTTCTTTACTTATGTTGCTTAAATATAATGGTTTAATATTGCTTAGTTTCCACCAAACGAATATTTTAAAAGAAGACATACAGTGTGTATTCTTGAATCTGAATTTTCATGCCATTATTTAGACCTGATTTAAATGATCAGACTGCTTCATATTCTCCATTTTTATGGGCAATATATATATTAACCATACTTTATTTTTGCTGTATCGGGAAAAATGATCTTTCTCTGCTCTGACTAGCAGTAATTAAGCTCTGCAGTCACACATTTCCATTGCCTTTTCATGGTTTTTAGGAAAAGTAATGTAACATTAATATTTCTACAAAGTGGTACTGCTGGAGCAGGGCTATCCTGGAGAGACGGGGCAAATCGAATCCGAGCAGCAGCAACCCGCAGCTCGTTTAGTCCCTGCTGGCAATGGCCTGCGCCAAAGATCTGGGCAAGCTTCTCTTCATCCTGCAGATAAAGTCTGTGACGGAACACGGAGCGACGCGACAATGGGTGGCTTCAGTAATTTGTCATCAGCTAGTGTGGCGAAAGTGATGAGAAACAAAATGAACTACAGCCTAATGTTTTGTTCGGGGAAGTCTAGGTTTCACCAGATGACAACATGGAAGAACATGCTACCCTGAGGCTGTGTACAAATCATGTGGCTGATTCATCTAATGCGTCTGCTGTTGTTCTAGGCATAACACAAATAGCGTAATCATATTAAACAAGCTAACAAACGAATTTTACTTATCGTAATCAGCGCGCTGCAGCAAATTTTATTGTAGCCCCCAGACTTATTCAAACCTTGTCCGATTGGTGTGATATTTGGAAGAAATGCGTTGAAGGCTTGAACATGGGATTTATATATAGCACACGTATAAGTTTTGCAGCTGGACGAGAATCGGGCTCACAGTGGAGGAAGAGCCATTTTTCTTGGCACCTCGTTCAGTCCTCAACACTCAATATAAAACTTTTCGGTTTTATAAACCGAAATAAAATCTAAAATTGAATGCGTGGCCTGGCCCCGAGGTAGCAGATCCAGTAGCTAACCCTTTGCTTTCAAGTAACGGAGATTAGAAACTCACGTACATCCTGTGGCCCTCAGTCACCCGCAAGAAGCTATTCAAAAGCTGCAAAATTACATAATGACATTCCATTTGCATGTATAACTGCAACTCATATCCTCCACAATAAAGCTTCATAGGTTATTGTAGCCTTTTCTCAGGAAGTTGGTATCAAGCAATTTGATGGGAATTCACTGGAATGCACTGGGAAGCAGCCTGTCTATGCTACTTATATTTAGGTGCCTTTTTCTGTAAAATGGAATTAAAATTCCTAATGAACCAGCAACACAATGTAATCTGCTGTATCTCATTGTACCAGAGGGCACCTTGACAAATTGCACCATTAATGAAAGCTAACAATTCTGCTTTAAATATAATACGCCCTTTTATTTGTAGACATTTATTCCATTTTTCAAATAAACCATCACTCACTGGCAAATCACTGGTATATTTGTTTTACATTCCAGATACAGTAATAGCCTTGTTTATTTATACCTCACAAAATCAATTGCTCCAGTTTTATACAGTTCTGAAGCTGATGAGGCGCCTTTGTTTTGAACGGTGCAGGTCATTCTGAGCAGTTAAGGATTCCCACACTCCCAGTGTTGCCCTGCTGGGACGCAAGAGACTGGGAAACAGAGTAATGTATAGTACCTGAGACTTACAGGATCCAGCATGCGGTGTTTTCGAATCGTGCAGAATAGATCGATCAGACTGAGGCAGCACAAGGTCTGAATACGCACAGGGTTGTTCAAACCATGATTGCAGGGGTGAAATAAGCAGATGCAGTGCACATAATGTGATGGAAGGTGCTATCTCACATCAAGTACCTCCAAAGGTGATATGCTCCTATTAGGAGAACATCTGCTAAATCTCTTTGCATCTGGGTCCTGCTGTGGGCAGTTCTATATAGTCATCTGTATATGTACATTTATATATGTGTGTGTTTGGATTACGTATATATTACATTGTGGGGACCAAATGTCTCCACAATGTGATAAAAACGTGTCATTTTGATGTCGTGGGGACCAATTTTTTTGGTCTCCACAAGGGGTAGCTCAGTTTTAATCTGGGAACGCAATCAAAAAACTAAAAAATGCTAAAAGTCTTGTATTTTATTTGCCGACTTATGGTTAAGGTTAAGGCTGGGTAGGGGTTAAGGTCGTCATTGTTGGGATTAGGGTTTTACCTGTATAAATGAATGGACGGTCCCCATACAGATATGAAAACAAACATGTGTGTGTTCCTATGACCCTGATTAAGTTAGGTGGTTGTAGATCAGTAGTTCTACATGTGGCCATTTCTGCATATTCTGCAGCTGTGACACATTGTGCATAATGAATGCAGAAAAACACGATTAGATAATAGGGATTATGAGAATAACAGATGTTGAAACACTACAAATAATTCCTACACAAAGGCTGACTGCCCTTTTTTAATAAATAATGCTTCAATAAAAATTAGAGATTTTGGTAAACAGTATATCTGACAAATGATTTATTGTTAAGAAGGTGATGCCAAATAATATAACTGGGGAACAAAGAATGCAAAGTAGCGGAAGTAAATCACTGCAACACGTAGGTTACAAAGTAGCTTCAAGAATTCTCCACTGATTTTGTAGCAACAAGTAGCTGAACCTATTGTGAGGATAATAGTTCATTTAAAGGCCTGCTACTCCATTATACAGAATACAGAAACAGATAAGCCATATCAAAGATATATGATTTATGTGTTGCAAAACAATAACTTTTTTTAAGACTATTTCATTACTTTTGAACAAACACAGCCTTAGGTAGGACAGAGGCAGGGTGCTGATTGTTGACACCCTCTGTGTCAGCCGCTGAGGCTTTGGACACTGTTCCATAGCTTATATTTCAGTCACAAGTTTTACAGACAGTAGAAGAGCCATCCGTCATCCTCAGTTATCTGCCTAACTCAGTGACTGCTGGCTTTAATAGTCCTATTCTCACACACAGACAGACACACCCACACAGCCATACACATCTTCAACTACACAGGGATGATTCTTTTTTGTTTACCTAGAATGTTGTCTATCAACTTTTGTGGGATCATTTTTTTCCTCCACTGGCATTTGACACCATTTTCTCTGCTACGTCTGCAGTGAAAAGGGCAGTGATAAACGACAGAAATAAATGATGGCAGTTTGATTAAAGTTAAACAACAGTGTAGGGGTGCTTCGAAATCACAGATCTGGTAGACTTATGGAGGGAATAAATTAAAGATTTCTTGTTTTCAAAATAATGAATTCAGATTTTTTTTTTTTTGGCACGAGCAGTTAGAGTACATTTGATTTATTCATGAATGCTGGAAAAAGACCCTGACTGAGAATCATTTATAAAACGAAAAGGAGGGTAAATCTATCCAGATATCCAAAATTTGCATCATGCAACATATGGTGTACATGCTAGTCTTTTTGCTCAACACGTTTCATAAAGTATTACTGTGGGCTGTATGCAGGAGAGTCTTATTTATTGGCAATTCCAAGTGTAACATTGATTTAATTAATTTGGTTTCTCAGGCAGCATGTTTGGACTGACAGATTTTATTGATAAATCCTTATAATCTTGACGCTTTATTATTTTTTTATTATTTTTTTAAATGGTAGCACGCTCAAGGGAGTTTCTGTAGCATTAATACCAAAATTTGCATAGGAACAGTATGGAAAACAGAAGATTCAAGGTATAGCTTTTCGGGCATTCCATTTGGTGATGTGCAAGGTCTGAGCCACATCACAAGTGACACCCAGGATGTGTACGGGATGCAGGAAGGTAGTTATTTTGCAGGGCACTCACATCCCACCCCCCCGGGAATGCGTGTCTTTGAACGGAAAGCAAGGGTAACCACACATAACCCATGCAAGCACAATGAGAACATGCTGCACATGCTGCACAGGGCTAACCTGACCCTGCAAGTCTGAGATGAGGCCATTACCTGCTGAGTCACCATATTTATCATAATCAAGGTGAGAGGCACAAATATAAGAATTCTCAAATTTAGCGGCTTCTGAATAGTATTTTCTTAATGTAGAGTGTATTTTAGAGTAATAAAAAAATCCATCTCCATTGATCCATCCATTCCATCTCTACCTTCAAGAAGTGCATCAGGACTCCTCTATTCCAGGAATATATCTACTAGCCTGTGCCTGTTCATGTTCCCTGAATGTTCTTAATGTTGCACGTTCTGCTGATTTGAATAGTAGTCTTGTTGGGTTCTTGTTGTTTACCCGCTGCATGTCTTCCTCGAGTGCTGCTTATGCTTGTACCTGGGCTTTCATCAGAAGCTCAGCCTAGCCGCACTTATGCCCAGTCGACTCCCTGACACTCGGATCCATGTCATGTGCTATTTGTCACACTTGTACATCGCTTTGGACGAAAGCATCTGCTAAATGAAATAAATGTGGATCTTGTAAATCTTCTAACTACCTTGGTCAGGGTCACAAAGACGGCATCCTAGGCAGCACAGGGCACAAGGCTAGAGTGCATCCTGGATGACATTCCAGGCTAAGAAAAGCAATTTTTTCAAATTCTTTTCTGTAGAACTTATAAACGTGTAAACCATATATTGAATGTGTTTTCACCGACTCTTGAGCTCTGACACAAAGGTGCTGTTACGTCCAATAAAAACTGACTTAGGCAGGTATCCTTACTGTATACAATCACTGGCAAGTTGTCCGTCGTAAACGCTGTGGGCTTCTCCTATTGCAGGAAAAAATGGTGAGCAAGGAGGCCAGCAAATGCATAGTCACCAACTCCGAGTCGGACTCTGAGGCGGCCCCGTCGTTGTCCCTGGAGATGAAGTACTCCCTGGATGCTAGCAGACATGTACGGAAGAGGAACAAGGCCCTGCAGGTGCGCTTCAAGGACATCTGCGAGGCCCAGAATGAGCAGCGCGAGGCAGCTTGCCAGGCGGCCGGGAAGGGCGGCAGAACTGCCTCCTGCCGGGCTCCGTACCGCAAATACATGACGGTACCGGCGCGGCGCTCCATCCCCAACGTCACCCGGAGCACAGGCGTCCAGACCTCGCCCGACCTCCGGAAGCGCTACCAGACATTCCCCTTCGAGCGTAAGAAGGGCCACACTTTCAAACATGCCGCCACAGTGGAGAGTTTCAAAGGGCACAGCAACGGTTTGGCCGCTACCAGGAAAGTTCCGGAAACCACGGTGGGCTCAGGAGAGGCCATGCAGTCGGTGGGGAGGGGTGTCTATCGGACGCAAGCGCTGCTCCACACGAACAACTGCACGGTGGCAGCGGAGCCATTCTCCACCGCCGACTGTCCGGACGGACCGACGAGCCCGGAATCGGAGGTGAGCTGCCCCGAAGACAAACAGTACTTACCAAATGTTTTGGACTCCAGTACAAATGCAGAGTACCACGTATACGGTCCTGAGACCGGGCACCAGAAAGGATTACATCGGGGAGAGGGGGATCCTTACCCGTCTGCCAAGCGGCAGCTGTTAAACTTTGACGAGGCCCCCGGCGCACCACGTAAAGACCCGGCGGCGGGTGTGACCGGGCCCATCGCATGGAACTCCCTGACGCAGGTGGAGTGCCTGGAGAGCCCGTCTGCGCAGGGCAAGCGCAAAAAGGGACCGCAGCTCAATGGGCTGCAGATGCAGTCGCAAGCCGCGCCCCCCGCCGCCTGTCACGGCACGCAGCTGCGGTGCCATGCGGCCGCGTTCGCTTCCCACGCCCTGCAGGGTGCCGAGGCGGCCAAGGCCCTATCCAGGGCTGCCACGGGAGCGCCCGAGCCGTGCCACCAGATCGTGCCCGTCGCTCAGGACGGGGACCTTAAAGCACAGCTCCAGGTGATGGAGAACCTGATTAGCTCAAGCCAGGAGACCATCAAAGTGCTTCTGGGAGTCATTCAGGAGCTGGAGAAGGGAGAAGCCCACAGGGAGGGGTAAGGAGCCTTCATGTATAATTATCTATTTAATTTAGAGTGTACAGTGATTCATTGCTTTCTACACCTTAGTTCTGTGTATCTGTTAAAGGGCACTGCTCAAGTTTCACCCATAAACAAAACAAATTAAATAATACACATTGTTTACTGGCTGTCACGCCTTGGGAAATGCTCCAACAGAAATGTAGGTCACTCGTTGGTTCTGAATCTAAACCTAATAGGAATACATGTTTATTACAGTGCATTGCTTGCACCCGTATCCAAACACAGCAAGATTAGGGTTTTTCTTCAGCATTTCATTGAGCAGCGTTGGCAGTTTTTTTACTTTACAGTTCTGTTTGATTTAGTGGCATTTAATTCCATTAGTTTGAATCTCAGAAAGTGCTCTTCGTATATCATTGTACATAACGGGCGTTCATTTAACACGAAAACCAGCAACTCTGTCTCCTTGTGAGAGGACCCATGCAAGATTTATGCATGTGCTCAATACAAGTCATGTATTCTAAATGCAGCTGGTAAAGATGAATAGACAGAAGAAGTCTGCATTGCTCGTTCGCCTGCTATTTTATAACAAGTCAACATCCAGTCCTCATTTATATGCGGTAAACACATATTTTGCTTAATTCTTGTAAGGATGAATGAACTCCAATGAAAGACAAATCCAGTGTGTAAAAACCTACATAGGCCACACTAATATTCGTTGATGTTCCATATTGCATGTGACGTCTGTCCTCAAAATGACATTGTACTGTATTGGAAACGGCTTTTCCTTGCTGGTAGCTTCCGACTGACAGATACAAACTATTTTATTGCCATTATTACTTAAGTCAGCCAGTCGAAGCATGACAGCTCTCCTCTAGAAACCACCGTGACATCAAGGAAATGTACAGTGATTCAAAAGGCAGGCCCGAGCTAACAGCACGCGACCGCGCTCCCGAGTAGCGAGTTCAGTGACGCGACGGCGTTCGTGTTCTCCGAATGCTCGATCATCACAATTGCCAGCTCCAGGATACTACTCCTGAGAGTGTGATTTATTAGAAATCCGGCTAGCTGTAAATAAAGGTTGGAAAAGCTCCCGCGGGTGTTGGACTCTCATAAATCCATACGCTCCCCCTGACGCCCAGCAAGGAAGTTGAAACCAAGGGAGGTTAACTATGGAAGACAATTAAAATATTTCCGATGCGTAATTGACATTACATAACAACATGAATTTTTTTCTATGTTGTTCATTATATGTAGCGTATAGCATTCATTTGGATTGTGCAGTTCTGTTTGGCTATGGAAACTCCCCATTACACCTCAACATACATATTAAGAAATGATAATAGGTATATGTAATATTCATGCCTCTGATAAACTCCTAGAAGCTGTGTATTTGGATGCAGATTAGGCACTTATATGTTTCTTCATGGTAAAAGAAATAATAAAAAAAACAACAATAATATAGCTCTAGTTAAAAGTTAATGTATATTATTGTAATTTCCTTCACATTAGCAGTGAAGGTTCTAGACCAGGTTCAAATCTGGATCTCAATTCCAAATCCAGGCCGTGTTTTCAGTTCTCCCAGGAAATTAGTTTAATAATTACTGATTCTGATTGGTCAGAGGCTTCTCACCTGACTGACAGGTAAAGGAAGGCTGGAAAATCAGCAGTGCTTGAGGACCGTGATTTCAATAATAGGGTTCTAGACCATTTCAACTGGGTGGGGGGGGCACACGGAGGCCAGGTGTTCTGCTAGAGGGGTCAGATGCATATGACCTTAATGTCCTCTAAGTATTACTCACAATAGATTGCCAGCATTAAGAAGCAAAAGATCATTTTGAAAACTGATGTTATTTATGCAATGTTTAGCAGTCACATTTTAAAGGTTTTACAAATAAGTAACTCACTCTGATTTCTTGTTTAGACTGTCTTGCTTCCATCAGCCTGATTTTTCTTTCTGTTGTTAACGTTGCTTTTCCCCCAGCCTTCCCCCAGCCACGTTAAGAGTCCGTCAAGAAAATGTCCTTCCGTTTGTATTTTACCTGTTCCCAGCACACAAAATTTTAGGCCACATACATAAATGCAAATAATAGTAATATTAATAATAATAATGCATTTATTTCAGACCCAGTTAGCATTTGTATTTAGGGGGGCCACAGCATGTTGTCATGGGTCATTGCCCCCCACCCCCAACCCCAACCCCAACCCCGCCCCTGCCCCTGCACATCAAAACTCTAAGAAAAAACTAAATAAGAACTTATAATGGAGACAATTATAAAAAGTCAGAAAGCCCCCCAGCTTTTGCAGCTTGGATTATAAACTGCTTTGCACTTCAACCATAAGAATTAAAACCTTCAGGTAGGATCATTTAAATGTCTACCAATTGAATTAAATGCTAAATCTGAAAGCTTTACACTTGGGAGGAATTGGTTCTGTCTCAGAGAGTTAATCTCTTGATATATGTATGTATCATATCAGCTTCCATTTCCTATCATCTCAATCTTCTGCAACGACGGAAATGAGATTCGAGCGCTTCTCGAATGCTAGTGCCCAGATGCTCTCAGCTGTGTCATGTGTGTAATATGGATTTTTCCCTGGCAAACAACTTCCGAAGCTACGGAAGATCTCAGTTAGGTGTCAGAGATAATGAAATTATGAAATGTGTTGACATCTCTACGTTAGTATCATGCGTAGTATGTATTTGCAAGGCAAATTGCAGTAATGGGCAAATTTTAAACACAATCCTGCTGAAGGCATTGCTGACGTACAAAGTAAAAGTGCATGCAAAGCTGAACATGGGCTCTCAGTGACACTGGACTAATGTAGTACAGCCAGTCCTTGTGTTTGTAAAAGAGAGGGAATCTTTATGGCCATTTCCGCTGATTTGGCAAAGCCAACCGCATATTTGTACGTGGGGCGTTGTGACGGCCTGCATTAAACACTGATTAAAGCCGCCCACTGGAGATCAGGAGAGCAAATTACATTAAGCTTTTGGAAGGGCTGATATTACATGCATGCCTGATATCATATAATTCACTGGTAATTCACTGGTACTTGTTGCATGTATGAATAGCCGAATTCTGGGTGCATTGAGTGGCTGTAAGGCAAGCGTTATTTCATTTTCATGCCCATCGCGGGCCTCACACGCTACACATTTCTTATTAAAGGGCTCTGAGAAAGCATCCTGCGTACGGTTGATAAGCATTGGGCCAGCAAGGCCTGCAAAAAAAAGAGAAAAACCTTCCCCCAGACATCTGTGAGAAAGAACCGGATTGTTTATCTCAGCAGGGTCTGGATCACAGTGACTGCATAGTAAGTAATGAACAGTCTGATCTGAAATGACAGAAACATACTGAGTTAATCATTTTCGTGCAGGGTGTGAGGTGTGATAATGATCACGTGCATCAGGGGTCCCCCGTTGGCCACAGATTGTCGAAAACGTCTCACTGTTGCCAGTCTCACCGGGCACCAGCAAATCCTGACCTACTGGAAGATTCTAGAAGATTCCCGTTAAAGGATTTTTGATATTGATCCGGTTTTGGGCTGCCGACCAAATCAAGGTGTACAAAGTGGAGCCCAAGACGTTGTCAAGGCCTCCACAATGTAACATATGTGTCGACTCTCCAGAAGAAACCCGAACACAAAGCCTCTGATCTTACATTGATGTCAGGGGAGCGGCTAGAGATTACGGGCCCCATGCAAGCATGTCATATTTGGCACCCATCCCAGATTAACCCAATTATGTTCCAAATTTTCTTCATTGTCCTAACTCCCCCCCCCCCCCCCTTCTGGGACACCTGATTGGTCGCCCACCCTCGGAAAAATGTCAAACAAATTTCTGCTATTGAAAATGCAAGCATATAAAGTGCAAACTTGCAGATGCTTTATGAAACCCAGGGTTCTCTTAATTGTGAATGGGAGGTAAACCCCACCATGCAATCACGGCTTCTGTAGAAGAAAGTGATTCTTTCCACGAGTATCGATAGGGACACGGGGCATGTTTGGTGCAGGTCACTTCTCAGCTGCCCGAAATAGGGCCTGGGCAGTATCTTAGGCTGGACCATCCGGATTCCAGTGACGGGGGGGGGGGGGGAATTACTGTGCACATTCTGCTGGTTGTAGGTCTAAATAGCTCCAGGTTCATGTCAGTGGTATGATATATTGCAAGTTGATATAATGAAAAATGATGGGGAAGGTACATGGAAGTATACAGTATGCACTGAAAGTTCATTACTGTACATTTTTATTACAGAAGGGAGATAATTATTATTAGTATTATTATTGTTGTTATTTAAATAAGTGCTATATTATGTTGCATGTGTAGGCATACAGTATGCAGGCATCTACATTTCGGGTCATTGTTTTTTCTTTTTGTCCTGATTAGTTTTTATTTTGCAGTGGCATCTAATTACACATGTTTATGTGGGGGTGTGGGGGGGTGTGGTTGGCACGGTATGACAGGCCGGTTTCCTGTCATTGATCCATCGCTGCTCTGTGAGACGCGCGTGACACATGATGGAAGGTGCGGCCATCTCTAATTTCGGGGTGCATCACTATCTGAGAGCACCGCCTCGTGTCCTCGCGCTCGTCCTTCTCCATTTTCATTTTCTGCATGTCGTTAAATGCCTTCCAGCCTCCCTCCGCTAATAATGTAATGTGATCTACAAATTGAATCCTCCTGAGATCCCCTTCACCTCTAATGATACAATCTATCAAAATTATATTTATGGATTTTAATAATGCATGCTTATATACTATATTTAAATGTATACATGTAAACACTGTACATTTAAATTTAATAATTAAACAATCTAGGGTAGCACTCTTGCCGCACATCTCTGGCATTGGCCAATTGCCACTTCGCATGTGTGGATTTATGGCGTTCTGCCCATAATGTGTGGATTTCATCTGTGTTTTTAGGTTTCATCTTCCAGTACACAGATACTGTATGTAGGTAGGCTAATTGGTGCCTCTGTAAAGTGTGACGGCGCATGCCTGTGTGCCTTGCTAAGGACAGGCATCCCATTCAGGGTATACCCCTGCCTGCTACCCTGTGATACTTCAGATATCCCCACGCCCCCATAAGCCTGTCAAGTGCTCGGAGATGGGTGGCTGGATCAAGTCATTTAACTAATAAACGATTTTGCTACGTCCTGTATACTCGTATTGAATTACATCAGTAATTCTGCATTATGTTGCCATTTCAGGATTGTGATAAAGCAAAGATCAAGTATTTGTAATTGTTGCTTAATGACAGGTTTATAGAATTTTCCGTTTTGCTAATATTGAAGATTCAAGGCAACTGAAGAGTAAACTTTCTTGATTGTCCAGAGTGGCCCAGAAGATATTGTTTAGCCTTAAGCTTAGTAAGGTCAGCTAAAGCAAGGTCACTACAAAAGGATAAAAATGTAGGTGACATAATGCATGCAGTGCAATGTTTAGCTATATGCAATACAGTCATGTACACTGTGTTTATATTTAGTGAGGCTTCTTACTATTATCTGGTAGTAAAAATGGTGCAAACAGCAGTAGGCTCAGATCAAACTCCCTAACCAGGAATTTCATTTATTGTGACTTAACTCATAATATAGCATAAATTCCACACACTATAAATGAATGCAGACCGATTTTCCTTTACCACAAAATAAAGAATGACAGAAGAAATGGGAGAATGGGCAAATTGGGAGGGAACAACCAAATGAGTCTTATACTGTAATTATTCATTTACACTCTTATCTTTGCAGTCTCTCCTATCGAACCGGACAGGACACGACCAACTGTGACACGTGTCGAAACAGCGCGTGCATTATTTACAGGTGGGTTTGAACCATTACTTCCTTTTTAATTTTCTTTTTTTATATCCTTCTTGCATTGTATGCAGTTTTATGCAAAGTGACTACTGAAATATCCTTAATTATCATTATAATGTGTCTTAATATGTAGATCAATTATCATTTAATTACACAGCATATGTTTTTATCTACTGTTCATGCACCTTGTTAAAGGGTCTGACCCAGCATTGGTACTGGTAACCTTGTCATGCGTATAGGATAACTATTCCCATAGTCTACCGCTACCAGCTAGTTTGTGTATTCAAGACCCCACAGCAACTAGACTTTGCTCGCTATTACTGTGTCGTCAGTCCTTTTGCCTTCATGCTGACAACTTCACCTTGTGGAAACCCGGGAAACATGTAATAGAAATCTTGCTTGTCCAAGAAAAAGGATCAGACTAACAAGTGTTTATAAGAAGTAGAAATGCGCACATGCCAGTACGTGACAGAGAACAGATGGCAGCCTGTAAGTGTTTTGAGAAGTGAAACAGCACAATAAGCATCGTGCGTGACTCTCCAGCAAAAGAATAATGCCACGTCTCCAAAAATATTGCAGATTATTGGATTAGGAGTGTCAAACGGAGGAGTGTCAGTGATCACTATGAGAGGCTTGAAGCAACATATTGTTCTTTAATAATGCAGCGATTTGTAGAAAATTTGCTTATTTAAAGCTGCACGACCTTGTACGTTTTCCAGAATTACTGAGGGTGTGTGGAAAGGTGCGTTTAGTTCGAAGGCTAATTTTGGTGCCTATGCACCTCTGAAACTATGTGTAATAGGGTTTTCAAAGACAATTTTACAATCATCAAAATGATACTTTGTAAGGAAAAGAAAAATCATTCATACCCATTTTATCTTATTGTTCGAGCACATGCATGTAATTCAATCCGGAATCCCTTTCCAATTATAGGGGAGATGCAAACAACAGTTGACTGATGAAAATGTTAACTTTCCTGCTCTAAACTTGAATGAAAATAAAATGCTGACTACAATGCTTTTGCAAGCATTGTGCATCTCATAAAGTAGTCATTCCAGAGAGAAACTAAACACACAATTGGGTTGTCAATGAAAATGCTGATACAATGTAACGCAGTGCACTTGAGTTTTATTGGGGTACCGGGCAGAGAGAGAGAATATAGTGTAAATAATGCAGCTGGCGAGGTAGCTCTAAAGAGAGGATGCAATATTAAACAATGGGCTGTCGTGAACTTGCCAACAGGAAAGTAGACTTAGTCAAGGTCATATAAACCAAGATTTCTGAAAAACTAGGCCTGTTCAATTCCCCTCTCACGTCGATATACTTACAGTGTGTCGGTAGATTTTCAGATTTTCAGTACCTTCTACTAGTCCAGAGACTCATAAAATTCAGCTCCCAACTGGGCGATTACTCATTACCAACATGAAACCTTGATATTTTGACCTTTGCGTTAGTCTCTAAAGCCTTTATATGATCTTGAGTCCAGAGATTGGATCCATCTTTCCTGAGGAGTGTGGTGGAATGTTGTAGTCATCATGCAACGATTTATGAACTTAAGTCTAGGTGCCACTGAAGTGAAGTGCAAGATGTTTCGTGAAAATTCATGGTGAGCCCGAGAAGATGTCAAACACGGTAGAGCCTTTCCGGGTAAACTTTGTGTCAAATGATGAATATAAAAAATGCATGTAAATGTGGATTCACCCTAATACATATTGTAGGGCTGGGAAGTCTGAGGCACCGCGAGAGCAGCGAATAAGGACAACAAAACACAGACTGACACAAAGGACCACACTCAAGCTCCATAACAGGGAGACAAACATGTTGGGCAAACGCGGGGAGCTTACACGAGGAATGGGAAGGCTCACACACGGTAGGACAATTACACAGTGCTAAAAATGCAGAGGATCAGGTAAGGACTGAATCTAGACACAGGTATGAGTATACGTGACAATCTGGTACATAACACAACAAGTACTGTATTTACACTAACAACAATTACACACTGTGGCTATGTACTGTATAAGCACTTGCAAGCATGCCGGGATATTCAAAGCCCACCGATGCTATTATACATACACATATATATATATATATATCTCCCGTTGTTTTGATTATGTATGGAAGTCTAAATTACTGTACATTTGTCCGAAAATCTGTCAACTGTGTGGTATGATTATTTTAGGCAATGGCAACTTTTTGTTTTCACACTTCATTTTCAAGTTTATCTACCTCAAGGTAAATGAATTCCAGTATCTCCTCTAAAGATATGTGAAGTGTCGACGACTGAAGCTTTCCTTTTTATAACCAAGCATATTAAAAATATGCTGACATAATTAGTGGCAATCCTTTCGAGATTACCAAATGTGCAAATTGCTATGTAAATTTGTGCATAGCTCCATAAATGAGGCATTTAATATCATTAAAATCCACTGCTTCTTCTGAGAAAGTGACATGCCCTTTAGCTAAAGGTCTGAATCAATTCATAGCACACATTGTCATTATCCAAAGAAATACAGACCTCAATCCAGCAAAACACTGAATCATTCATTTTGGTCTTTAATAAGTTGCTGTGGTTTTGAATGGCTTTAAACTGATCCGTTTTAGTAAGAAACCTTGAAGCATACAAGTAAGGTAACTTTCTTTAATCTAATAGTTGGCAGGATGTTATTACAGACAAAGAGTAAATTAAAGTGAAATACCTGCTATCAAACAGTAGCTCAGTACAGAAAGCAAACTGACTCTTTGTGGCACCTAACTCTAATCCCAAAGTATAGTTTTGCACCCTTGAGTCAGATAACATTTTGAGCTACATGATTTTTTCAGTTAAGATGTACTTATTAATCCCAGGGGGAAATATTTGAAGGAAGAGAAGAGCCACAGGCCACCTGGAATTGTGAGTGCAACACAAGGAACTGCTGGGACCAGAACCCAGAACCCCCTGTTTAAGAGACAGGTGCTTAACCACTGCATTTACTCAAATACAAATATGATTTTGAACTAATATACAAGCATACTGCAGTGCTACTTGCAAGTGGTGGCTTAATGGTTAGGGAAGTGCACTTGTAATTGAAAGATTGCTGGTTTGAATCTCTGACCAGCAAGGTACCACTGAGGTACCCTGAGCAAGGTACCACCCCCAAGCACTGCTCCCTAGGTGCTGAGCAAGGTACCGCCCCCTGCTACTGTATGTCACATGTGTTAAATGCAGAAGGCACATTTCATTGTTGTGTGCTGTAGTGTGTCAATAATGACCACTGATCATCTAATTCTGAAGGCTTAAAAAATGAGTGCACAGTATCTTGAAACGAGTTTCCAGAGTACACAGACTGTCCTTAAGGAAGACCCCTTAGCTTTATAGGACAGGCCCTTGTTTGTTGTTGTTGCTGATGTTCTCATGACAAACTTATGCACCCAGCAGTGTCAAAAAAAAAAAGAAACCGACATGCACAAATAATTAATGTAATCACATTTTCCTTTTCGCAATGATCTATAATCTGGGAATACTAATGTGATACAGCGCATTTGCCACAGTCTAATTAAAGACCATCATAGCATGAAAGAGGATTTAAATGGATTCAATTTATTTTAAGACTAACGCTTTAAGCTACAATGCTTATTGTTGCTTTGTTAATCTTGAAAATCCTATAATCTAATTATCTCAGACTATGGCAATATGGCCTAATATGTTGATCTAAGTACAAGATATGTGTAAATGATTTGACATATCAGAAGCTTCATTTTACACACACACACACACACACACACTATGATCGACTTGGGGGAAAAAAATTCATGAGTAAGGACCTTTCACCGACACTTTGATGCTCTAGCATTTTCATAATTTTAAGTTATTTTGATGATTTTCACTTATTTTGATATCTGAGTCCATACACGGAATTTTACACAGAGTTAATGGAAAAACAACAGAACCAAAACAGGGGACAAGGAGTAGTGCTACAGCATGTATGTATTAGATGTGTTTCAAGAAGGGCTTCGAATTCTATTTCTGCTAAAATAAGAACTGTTGAGATATTGAGCAATAGATCTCAATTATTTAAATTGGATAAATAGCTAAATCATGTAGTATACAGTATATATGTGCAGTATACTTGTGAATTAGTTGAAAAACATATTTGGATTTGAGTAAACATACTGTGGCAGGAGGAGTAGTTTGCCTAAGTTAGTCATTAGATACTTATGTGAAATGGAAAGGTCCTTTCGGAGTCCAGCCTACTCTCTGCCCACAGCCTGGTACCACAGGGAGTAGTGGCTGGCTCTTAAAGTTGGCGGGGGGCCGAGGGGGCTGGGGGGTTGGTGTATAAGACCGGGGAATCAGCATCTTCTCAGAGCTAACCAAGGAGAGCAGAGATTTTAATGAAGCGCAAGGTTAAAGTGCTTTCAAAGGATGCACCAAGCAGATGACTTACTCTGGGAATTTAACAGGAGGGAACAAATATACAGATTTGTGTGCTGAAAAGGCAGCACACCGAGCTGGCAAATCCCACGACGGTCCCTTGAGTAGATACTGATAAGTTGGGTATTGCAGAGAATAATGAATCTTTCATTAAAAAAAGCTTTTGAGTATCTTCAAAGAGGAGATGATTATCTTTTCAGGATGTCCACAACTTATAATGAGGCAGAGTTGGAAATTGATTTCAGTAGCTACATACATTTCAGATCTGTATTCCCAGGATGAAGGCTTTTGTGTCTGTGTTCAATACTCTTGAACAAATTTAGTGATAACTTTTGTTAAAAGGCCGCACACACACACACGCACACGCACACACACACACACACACGCACGCGCGCACACGCACACACACACACAC